AAATGGGTGTTCCGTAACAAACTTGATGAAAATGGAATAATCACTAGAAACAAAGCTAGGCTCGTAGCTAAAAGCTACAATCAAGAAGAAGGCATTGATTTTGAAGAAACTTATGCACCTGTAGCACGTTTAGAAGCTATTCGTTTACTTCTTGCTTTTGCTTCGTCTATGGATTTTAAACTTTATCAAATGGATGTTAAGAGTGCCTTCCTCAATGGTTTTATTCAAGAGGAAGTGTATGTTGACCAGCCCCCGGGGTTTGAGGACTTTGAGTTTCCCGATCACGTCTTCAAACTCAAGAAAGCGCTCTACGGTCTTAAACAAGCACCACGTGCTTGGTACGAACGTTTGAGCAAATTTCTTTTGGATAGTGGTTTCCAAAGGGGAAAGGTAGACACCACACTTTTTATCAAGAGTAAAAACAATAACATCCTTTTGTTCAAGTTTATGTAGACGACATTATATTCGGTGCTACTAACGAGTCTTTGTACAAGGAATTCTCAACGCTAATGACTAGCGAATTTGAAATGTCAATGATGGGCGAGCTCACATTCTTTTTGGGACTCCAAGTTAAGCAAATGAAAGACGGAACGTTCATTTGCCAAGCTAAATACTGCAAGAAGCTCCTAAAACGATTTGAAATGGAGAACGCCAAAGCCATGGCAACCCCGATGAGCACGTCTGACCATCTTGACAAAGACGAGAAAGGTAAGGAAGTAGAGGTCAAAAAGTATCGAGGTATGATCGGATCCCTTCTGTATCTTACTGCTAGTAGGCCGGATATCATGTTTAGCGTTTGCCTTTGCGCGAGGTATCAATCGTATTCGAAGGAATCGCACCTAACCGCGGTTGAACGGATCATGAAATACCTTGTCGGCACGGTTAACGTTGGACTGTGGTATCCAAAAGGCTCTTCCTGTCATCTCGTTGGCTACTCCGACTCGGACTTTGCCGGTTGCAAATTGGACCGTAAAAGTACGAGTGGGACGTGCCACTTACTTGGTAGTTCCTTAGTCTCATGGTTCAGCAAGAAACAAGTCAGTGTTGCGTTATCCACAACCGAAGTGGAATATGTAGCCGCCGGTAGTTGTTGTGCTCAAATCCTTTGGATGAAGCAACAACTCGTGGACTATGGCCTTAGTATTAATCACGTCCCTCTTCGTTGTGATAATACTAGCGCCATAAGCTTGACGAAGAACCCCGTTCTTCACTCAAGGACAAAACACATTGACATTAGGCATCATTTCATTAGAGATCATGTTCTCAAAGGTGATGTCGAAATTGAGTTTGTTGAAACACACAATCAATTAGCCGACATTTTCACAAAACCTTTAGAGAAAGAGTCATTCTTCCGCATTCGAAGTGAACTCGGAATCCTTGACTCCACGATGATCTAAGTTGTGCATCTAAATTTTTTTAAACATTTACTAACTTGAGCGTCGGAGAACTTTTTCTTTTTTGCAGGTACCCCGTTCATGAAATCAGGGGGAACCATGCAAACAGCGCTGTCCAGGAGACACAACAGCGCTGTTGAGGGAAACACCGTCAACCAGAAAGTTTTTCAACAGCGTTGTCCATCAAGCCAACAACGCTGTCCCAGGGAGTCTCTTACACCTTCATTTCCAGAAACTTTTTGAACATCGATGTTCCCTTTTAAACATCGCTGTCTTCCCAAAACTTTTTGTTTTCAACCCAAACCAGAAACTTTTTAAACAGCGATGTCTTACCTTCAACATCGATGTCCACTTTTACAAATTTTTTCCTCTATCGCAAAACAGCGATGTAGAGAAACCCAACAGCGCTGTCCAAATGGGTTCACACCCTTACACAATTCCAGAAACTTTTGGAACATCGTTGTAGGGTACCCAACATCGCTGTCCTTTTGACTTTTAGTTTTTCTAAAAACATGACGCAGAAAAGCGCTGTACACGGAACAACAGCGCTGTCCCAACAGCGATGTCGCCTGTAGAACATCGCTGTTCGGGTCAAAATTTTCAAAAAAAAAATATCCGTTGGAAGCAGCATTAACTTCTCCAACAGCCATATTTTTGAAATTCAGGACGTTGGAGACCACCTTTTCTATAAATTGGGACCCCCTCTCTTCACTTTTACACACACAAACACAAATTCCTCTAATATCTTCCATATTTCATCCTCTCTACTCTAATTTTCTTTAGTTTTCTTCACCATGGGCAAAGACAAGAGCAGGGCCGCCACCTCCGGGAAATCTAAGTCCAAATCCCGGGCGCCTACGTCCTCCTCCGAGGAGCGCTTCTACTATGGCGACGGGACATACCTTTGGTTTGATCTCGAGGAGGAGCGCACCCGTTTCCTCGCCTTCTTCTCTAAACGGGTTGTGGCTCCCCCACGGATCATCCCGCAGTGCTACCCGGAGCTGCAAGGCTACGACGACCTTGACACACAGCTTCATCAAGCCGGCCTTTGGCCGTTCGTCTCTCGGGCGCGCAAGGAGATCAACCCGGCGCTGATCCGAGCCTTCTACTCCAACCTCCGGCGTGAGGACGACGTGCTCTACTCGCTCGTCAAGAGCACGCCGATCGAGCTCACCGTGGAATAGCTTGGGCGCATTGGCGACCTCCCCTTCCAAGGCGACGATGTGTCTCACTATGGTGGAGAGGATTAGGTGCTCAACAACGAGGGCCTTATCCTCAACGAGCTTGGCATCACCGAGCTCAAACGCCATGCCTCGGGCCGCCCAACCATCCACTCCGCCAACCTCGAAGGCCGCCTCGTCCTCTACATCGTCTCCCGGATCATCAAACCGAGGAAGCACGGCCACACCATCATGCACGGTGAAGACCTCAAGCTTATCCATGCGATCATGCATTCGGCCCCAATCAATTGGGCAAAGTTTGTCATGATCAACATGACGATCGCCCGTAGCCGTTTTTGGTGATGGACATCCTTGAATGGTTCAAGGTAACCACCACCGTTGGCCCGCTCACGAAGGCCACGAAGATTTGGACAATAAGCAACCAAACCTTCAACAAGCGGTCGGACAACGCCGCGGCTGCCACTGCCGAGCCACGCCACACTGCCCCTGCCACTGGCCCAGCCAAACCCCAGGCCCGGGCCAACCTTGCCTCCATCGCCGACTCCCTCAACCGGCTACACCTCAAAGTTGACGGGATGGGTGGCTACCTTGAACGGCTCGACGTAGCTGTTCAACGCCAAGGGTACGCCATGAACGCGTACTTCCAAGGCATCAACTACGTCCCCCCACCGTACCACGGCACGTTCCTTGGGCAAGTGTACGGTGACGAAGACGAAGCCGATGACTCCTACACCCCATCAAGCTCCCCGGATGAAGATGAGTTCGACGATGCCATTGATGGTGATGAGATGGACGTTGACGACGACGAGGAGGAAACCGAAGACGAAGCCTAGGACTCCCCTAGCATTTCTTTCTTTTCTTTCGATTATCCTGTTATTAATGCTTCCGTTGTACTCCGCTATTTCCCTTTATTAAATAAAATCATTTCGTTTATCTTTTTGTTAATGTCAAAAGGGGGAAGAAAAGGGCTATCCATATACTAAGGGGGAATGTCTCTATAAACGAGACCGTTTGATTTTAATCCAACTAAATTTTTTAAGCACAAATTAAGGGGGAACTTTTGCTTCACAACTTTTGAAAAACAAATATCTCTTAGTATGTATATCCCCGTCTTGTTTGCCATTATCAAAAAGGGGGAAATTGTTGGAACACGGGTTTACGCCTACGTCGTACTAAACTGTGTTCGTTTTTATGACAAGTTTTGATAATGCCAAACCGCCGCGACACATCAAATCTAAAGTGAGCATAACTAAAGCGAAGAAACATGGCATGATGACTAGAGAACCAAGAACCCAGAATAAAGAACGAAGAATTAGAATTGTATTGAGTCGGTCTTAATGTGATCAAGACCGGCACAAAATTCCAAATCTTGGCTCTCTAGGCTAGATTGATAAAAATTTCTTTTATATGTTCAAAAATATTTTTCTTAAGTTTAAACTTGGGTAAAAACGCTTGGAGTTCGCCCAAACCAAAAACCAATCCATCCGGCGTTCGGTTTTCAGAAACCGGCGTTCGGCTCTCGGTTTTCGGCATTGGTTTTTGGCGTCCGAATCAACCAAGTGGTTTTCAACTTTTTATGACTGGTTTTTACTTCTGGGCATATTTAAATAGTTCTCCAACAAAAACGCCTCAAAAACCACTCTCCGATTTTAGTTGTTTAGTGAAAACCATGCGAAACGACACGAACTTGGTTAGCCGTGGTTTTCAACTAAATGACGTGGTTTTTAAGATGTTTTACTTGGTTTCTTAGCAAAATGCAATAAACAAATGTTTTCTAAACTTGGTTTTTATTTTGGAGAACTTGCGTTTTTGACATCGGCTAACGGCGTGACTAAACAAACCATGGGTCTTGCTAAACCCTTCCAACAGCGATGTTCAGGTAATCAACAGCGCTGTCTGGCCTGGGTAGCTAAAAACATGGTTTGGCGTTAAGTCTTCCAACAACGATGTTGGACACTAGACATCGCTGTTGAGCCAAGGTTGGATTTCTAGAAACTTCTGGAACAGCGATATAGGCTTCCCTACAGCGCTGTCCAACCTAAGCCAAAAATATAGTGCTTTGGCAGAAAGTTTTTGGACAGCGATGTTGACCTAGCAACAGCGCTGTCAGGCCAAACTTCCATCTTCAAAGGCAGACCTAAACAGCGATGTTCTAGTATAGAACATCGATGTAGAGACCTGACCGTTGGAAGGAATTTAAGGCTAAAACTTTCCTTGTTTGGAAGTCAACAGCCAAAACAGCGATGTAGTGATTTTAGACATCGCTGTTGGCATGACCGTTGCTTCCCATTTTTCAAACCGCAAGCCTAGAACATCGATGTCCAGGCCTGGGACAGCGCTGTCTGGGTGATTTTCAGTAGATCCAAATTTTATCAAATCCCACAAATTGTGCCAATCACCCCTTAAATACTTTGGTCCGTTGGAGCCTATTTTTCTACTATAAAATGGGGTGTTTGGGTCTGTTTTACACATCACATTACTTCACAACTCCTATTCTTTCATTCCAAATCATTCTTTAATTATTCATAGCTTTTGAGAGCCATTTTTGTGAAGCTTGTGTTGTGTTTTTTGAGCGTTCTTAGTTTACTCTTTATCCACTCTAAAAGAGAGTATTGTTCTTGAGTGTTTTTAGTGTTCTTAGACACTTGACAAGAGAAGGTATCTCTCTTGTTGTTCGAAGGAAGGGCTGTTTCCTTCGAAGGTTTGTTGAGGTTCGTGTGACTCGAATTCTCAAGTTGTACGGGTTTGTTAAGCACCGTTAAGCTTAACGAGATAGTAGTGTAGCTCGAGAGAGTCTCTCGGGAGGCTGGATTAGCCA